AGCCAATAAGTCGGGGCCCTTTTGACGGGGCTATTTTGACTGGGTCATTTTGTCGGGGGTCAATTTGACGGGGGCGTTTTGACGGGGCCGATATGTCCCGGGCCGTTTTGACAGAGCACCCTTAGCACTTGGTATCGGCGGATTAAGCTTGAGCAGGGCCCCGGCAAATTTTTTTGAAGAAAGTACTAGATCTATTTGGCACATGCAAATACAAGAGACGAAAAATGACTTTAAGAAAAGCTCTTCTACAGAATATAAAAGAAAATAAAGAATATCTCAAACCACCCTACGTGGAACAATCATAAATATTTATGGGATATTCAAATACTAGCGCCATCCATATCGCGTTGACTAACAAAAGCTCTAGCAACGCTTTTGTCGAACATGTTTAGGTAGGAATGTGTTTAAAATTACGAAACATATAGGAAAATAATACTCAATTAAAACTTTTATTACTTTAGGAGTTTAAATCCAGGATACATGTGTTACAACGCTGATATTACAACTACGGTACTTTTAAAATCGTGATTGATTATAACTTATCGTTTAAAAATCGAAACTATACGAAAATTGGATTCAGATAACAAAATTTGAAATCATCTCTCTATACCTTCTTTTTAAATAGGCCTACTGTGTTAGGCCTAAACATGTTAGAGTTATAGTGCTGCTAGTCTAGATCCAATGGGAGACACAATACGATTATAATAATAGATATGTCACTGTATATTATTTTAATATCTGTGATCAGTCCACTATACATTTGCAGACAGTGTTCCAGATTCTTTTATCCGGGTGTCCTTGAAATTTTCCGGGGGGGGGGGGGGGGGGGGGGAAGGCGGACACTGTTAAATTTTTTTTTCTATATACCCTCCCCCCTCCCGCCGAATAGATGCTTGGCATAAACTCTGCAGATCTGACAAAGTAAGCCTTATGTGATATACTTGCTGCTCGTATTTTATAAGCTAAGCAAAATCAACCAGGACCACATTATTATTTTTGGGAGAGCTGATGTTAAATGAACATTGTTTGACATGAAGCGATGACATCTACAGTTTGAACTGTAGAGCGTGGAAGTTGATGTCCGACTAAGGGACAAACGTATGTTTTCATGAGAGAAAAAAAAGATCTCATACTTTCGTATTTGTAAATTTAGAGGGTAAAAAGCTTATGATTTGGAAATTCACCGTTCATTTAGATTGTACGAAACAATTAAAAACCGGTAGGAAAATTATTTTTACTGTTGTTTAAAAAGAGAAAATTATGGAGCCACTGAAATTGGGGAGTCTCCTGTTCAACTCTATAATCCGCCACTGTCAATGAGCTATGGCCTTACAACACAATTTTCTATACTCTTGAGATAAACTTTGCCATATCCTTTGTATACTCCCACCTTCCGTCTAGTTTCGGTTTTAATTCTCATTAATTCGGCAAATAAAGCAATTATTATACTAACCTACCTTTTACTTTCAATAACTAATATTCAAAACAGGCTACTTCCAGCCTTTTAAAAACGTTTAAGTAAAACGGGTCTACGACAAATTCCCGAAAGACAATTGCCCGAATGCCGTTTGCCCGAAAGCCGATTTCCCGAATGGACACTTGCCCGAATGCGACAAATGCCCGAATTGACACTTGCCCGAATGCGACAAATGCCCGAAAGCCACGGTAGTGTATGTAAACCCGTGCCCCGACAATTATAATCAAAGAAATATAACGCATGCATTTTTTACATCTGAGTAAGTTTTAGAAAAAAAGGTCAATCGTCTAAGAACATTGGCTTGGTAACGTATTGATGAAACCCTCTCAAAATATTACGACAGACCTTCTTCTGAGACAGCGGCAACGCGCAGGGAATGACTCGCTAGTAAATAGCTGACGGAATCTTTGAAAGGCGTTAAAAAACCCCAAATGTTTTTTAAAATGTTAAAACAAATTTCACTAATGTAAGCCCTGAAAAGTGTGTGTGTGTGTGTGGGGGGGGGGGGGGGGGGGTAACTATATCTACGTCCCTCCGCTTATATAAATTATCAGGTCAGTGCAAGTTCGGCTAAACCCAGACTGGTTAAACCCTAACCTTAGTCTAAACTAAAAAAATAAAAAATAAATAAAATACTTAAAAAAAAACTTTTTAAAAAACCACGTTTTTCTTGTGGACTAAAAAGTAGAAAATAAATTTTCATACATTTGATGACAAAAAACGTGGGTATGTTCACCATCAAATTTCCCGACCCATCTGCCCGACCCACGTTTTTTGTCATCAAATGTATGAAAGTTTATTTTCTACTTTTTAGTCCACAAGAAAAACGTAGTTTTTTAAAAAGTTTTTTTTAAAGTATTTTATTTTCTCCTTTTTAGTCCGTTGCTACATATGAAAAACGTGGTTTTAAAAAAAGTTTTTTATATAGTTTATTTTCTACTTTATCTAATGACTTGATTAAGTATTTATAAATACACGGACTAAAAATCTTGAGCGATTCGAACCTGGGTTGTCGCGGCCACAACGCGAAGTACTAACCACTATACGATCACGGCCAGCGCACTCACATCGATTGGGGCCGAAGTAACTGTGTCAATAGGCCTCCAGTCTTGTCGGTATCTTTAGAAATCATGTCCTCAATTTTATGGTCCTTGGGGCGTAATTAAATTAAGCTAATTACGGTCTCTAATTGCTAGTTTTTATGATTGCATCTGAAATTGTTAGGCGAAAGTAGCCTACATGCCAAATTTCAGATCTATAGAGCAATCAGAAGTGGGCTAATTTTCGATGTCAATTTTAACAACAAACACACGCGAAGCTGAGTTAATAAAAACGTGTTAAAAAAGCCAACAGTATAAAATTTATTAAGGGGGTAGGCTCCAGAAAAAACCAACTTCTTAATTAAAACCTTTTCTTGATTCATTTGTGTATATCTAAGTTAGGGTACTTGTAGGGAAATATTTCCATGCATCAGGGACTCTTTTGAAAATTTGGTTGCCATGGCAACGGCGGCCATCTTGAAAAAAACATCCTTTTCTGGAGTTCTAAAATTTCATAAACTAACATAAATATCGGCTATATAACCATTGATCCTTCTAGTACTAACGCTAATAGAGTCAGCTGGCTAGTTTTTGTAACAGAAATCACTCTAGAAATATTTTTTTTTAATTTTCAAAATTTGGTGTGACGAAATTCCAAGGAAAATAATGCTAAATTCAATGGAATTTCACCAAAATTTTTTTGAAAATTAAAAAAAAAATATGTCTAGCTGTTTTTCGGTAACAAAAATTAGCCAGCTTGCTCTATTGGTGTTAGTACAATAAAGATCAATGATTATATGGGCGGTTTATATGTTACTTTAGGAAATTTTAGAACTCCACATCGGTAGTTTTTTCCAAGATGGCCGCCGTTTCCATGGCAACCATATTTTCAGAAGAGTCCCTGGTACATCCAAATATTTTTCCTTAAGTACCCTAACTTATACATACGCAAATAAATGTAAAAGGCTTTTTAATTAAAAAGTTTTTTCCCCCGTTTTTTTCGGGAGCCTATCCCCTTAAACAAAAAGAATTGAACCAAATTTCAAAAAAGTTAATTCAACAAAAGACTAAAAGGGGCAAATAAAGACTAAACAAAACGCCAAATCGGACAACAAACCTGAAAAGATAAATACACAAATGAGACGGATAATAAAAACAAAAGGGGGTGTACAACGCATTATTACTTTAATAAGAAAGAAAAAAGTGCATATACGAAGCATGGATAAGCCGACAATAACAGCAACTAGAAGTGGTCCACTCCAGGACAACTCACTACATAAGTAGTCCACACAGGACAACTCATAATATAGGTCAAACTGTACTGAGTCTTATCCTATGGAGCGACAATCAGTCGACATTCATACTAAAATCCTCACTGCACAGTCAGTGACCGGGATAAACCAAACACTCCCCTGGGGAATCAATAAATATCACCCCAGGAAGGTAGGCTCGACTATAATGGCATTAAAATAGTATTGAAACAGTTCTAGAACAAAATAACCCAACCCAACAATCAGGAGTGAACCATAACTATGGGTCGAGTATAAATAAACTAGCTGGGACAGCTAGTAGATATCTAAATAATGATTCATCTATCGTTTTTACTTTCTCGTATATACGAAGTATAGAGAAAGTATTGTAATCGTGCATAAAAAAAAAATCGAGATTTTTACAAATCTCGACGTTTTACATCTAACTGATACGGAAAAACATAATTTTGCAATCTTGTCCGTATGTCTGTCTGTGTGTCTGTCTGTCTGTCCGTGTGTAAACACGATAACTTGAGTACCGTTACAGCTAGGTTGATGAAATTTCATATATAAGTATTTTATCAAAATCGTAGATCCGTATCAACTTTTGAGCGATTTCCGATAACCGGAAGTGGTACTTTTTTACTTTGAATTTTTCAAAAGCCTATAACTTGAGTACTATTTCAGATAGATAAATAAAAGACAGACGAATAGAAAATTTTCAGGGGAAAATACTCTAACAATGTTATTAAAAGATGGCCGCTGCTTTATTTAGAATATTTAGTAATATCTGGATCTACTCATATTTGTCACTAACATTGTTGTTTAAAGTTCATTCCAGAATATTTTCTATTGTTTTAGCCATTCATTATGACTTGCTATTCAATTATCTGTTAAATTCTATAAAATATGCCCGTATTAAAGCTAGATCTAGCTAGATCTATATTCATTAGTAATCATAGTTACTTCTTCCGCACATTACTAGTCTAGATCTAGACTCTAGATCTAGATCTAGGCCGCAAGTGGCGCAAGAGATAGATCTAGACTAGGGTCTAGATCTAGAATCTAGATCTAAATCTAGATTCTAAATCTACATAGATTCTAGATCTACTACATACATAGATATCTACACATAGTCACATAGAATCTAATAATGATAGATTCTAGATCTAGATCGAATTATTCTAATATATTAATATATTAGTTTATTACATACATCTAAATCTAGACCTAATACTAATTAGGCCTAATGTAATTAATTATTAGTTTATTAGGCCTAACTAATAGTAGATCTAGTAATAGGGCTTACTTAATTTTAATTTGTTTAACAATGTGTAGTAACTATGACCAAAGGCCATGTGCATGGATCTAGTATGGATTAAGAATGGCCAGTTTTTGCACCAAGTTTATTTCAATATACTTCAAGTTGTGATATTGAGTTTGTTATGTAGATCTATTTAGGATTTATTCAATTCAATATATAAAAACTCAAGCAAGCTCAAAGACAAGCCACAACAAGAAGGCGTATAAAGATGTATGTATAGGCCAACATGTAATGTGCAACATATTGACATAACAACGGACAGAAACTATCACACACACAAATTGTACCAGAAATTAAAAAAACAGTAAAAGATGTAAAAAATACTTATGTATAAAGTAGAAAAATAAAACTATGAACAGCTCTTACATCTAAATACTAGACAAATATCTCTCACATTCCCCGCCCCCTCATACAATCAAGCTCATACCACACTAAACATCTAGATCTAAATGCATAACTCTTTTTGAACTCTAATACTCTTAAATGTCCTTGAACTCTAACCAACTTTCTTAAATGTCCTTAAACTCTAACCAACATCCAGAGAATTTTATCTTTTGTGTCTGTTGTAGGCACTTGAGAGTAGTCTGTTACAGTGTAAACGGTGCTGACAAGTGGCACAGTGTGACTGACAAGTGGCAAAGTGTGACTGACAATTTTTCTGTCAGTGCTGACTTTTCTGAGTTGTCCACTACCACAATGTTTCAGTAGTCGGCGTAACCAGCAGCTATGCTGTTCCACTAACAGGCTCTTCCCTAACTATTACTGAATTCATCCCAGAGTTCTAACCTAGGTCACACCGACATCACTACAGAAACAAAAGACTTGACAGGATCACACTGTTTCCTTTCACTTGCACTTGTCACATAACATTTTAATGACTTGACAGGATCACACTGTTTCCTTTCACTTGCACTTGTCACATAACATTCACTAGAGAGACTTGGATGAGGACTACATTCACAATAAAGGCATGAAGACTTACTCACTGATCCATACAAGACACAGACCTTCTCTCCCAGCAACAACAAGACACAGACCTTCTCTCCCAGCAACAACAAGACACAGACCTTCTCTCCCAGCAACAACAAGACACAGACCTTCTCTCCCAGCAACAAGACACAGACCTTCTCTCAGCAACAACAACAAGACACAGACCTTCTCTCCCAGCAACAACAAGACACAGACCTTCTCTCCCAGCAACAAGACACAGACCTTCTCTCTCAGCAACAACAAGACACAGACCTTCTCTCTCAGCAACAACAAGACACAGACCTTCTCTCTCAGCAACAACAAGACACAGACCTTCTCTCCCAGCAACAACAAGACACAGACCTTCTCTCCCAGCAACAACAAGACACAGACCTTCTCTCCCAGCAACAACAAGACACAGACCTTCTCTCCCAACAACAACAAGACACAGACCTTCTCTCCCAGCAACAACAAGACACAGACCTTCTCTCAGCAACAAGACACAGACCTTCTCTCCCAGCAGCAACAACAAGACACAGACCTTCTCTCTCAGCAACAACAAGACACAGACCTTCTCTCAGCAACAAGACACAGACCTTCTCTCCCAGCAACAACAACAAGACACAGACCTTCTCTCCCAACAACAACAAGACACAGACCTTCTCTCCCAGCAACAACAAGACACAGACCTTCTCTCCCAGCAACAACAAGACACAGACCTTCTCTCCCAGCAACAACAAGACACAGACCTTCTCTCTCAGCAACAACAAGACACAGACCTTCTCTCTCAGCAACAACAAGACACAGACCTTCTCTCTCAGCAACAACAAGACACAGACCTTCTCTCCCAGCAACAACAAGACACAGACCTTCTCTCTCAGCAACAACAAGACACAGACCTTCTCTCCCAACAACAACAAGACACAGACCTTCTCTCCCAGCAACAAGACACAGACCTTCTCTCAGCAACAACAAGACACAGACCTTCTCTCCCAGCAACAAGACACAGACCTTCTCTCTCAGCAACAACAAGACACAGACCTTCTCTCTCAGCAACAAGACACAGACCTTCTCTCTCAGCAACAACAAGACACAGACCTTCTCTCCCAGCAACAACAAGACACAGACCTTCTCTCCCAGCAACAACAAGACACAGACCTTCTCTCCCAGCAACAACAAGACACAGACCTTCTCTCCCAGCAACAAGACACAGACCTTCTCTCTCAGCAACAACAAGACACAGACCTTGTCTCCCAACAACAACAAGACACAGACCTTCTCTCTCAGCAACAACAAGACACAGACCTTCTCTCTCAGCAACAACAAGACACAGACCTTCTCTCTCAGCAACAAGACACAGACCTTCTCTCTCAGCAACAACAAGACACATACCTTCTCTCTCAGCAACAAGACACAGACCTTCTCTCCCAGCAACAACAAGACACAGACCTTCTCTCTCAGCAACAACAAGACACAGACCTTCTCTCCCAGCAACAACAAGACACAGACCTTCTCTCTCAGCAACAAGACACAGACCTTCTCTCCCAGCAACAACAAGACACAGACCTTCTCTCTCAGCAACAAGACACAGACCTTCTCTCCCAGCAACAACAAGACACAGACCTTCTCTCTCAGCAACAAGACACAGACCTTCTCCCAGCAACAAGACACAGACCTTCTCTCCCAGCAACAAGACACAGACCTTCTCTCCCAGCAACAACAAGACACAGACCTTCTCTCTCAACAACAAGACACAGACCTTCTCTCCCAGCAACAACAAGACACAGACCTTCTCTCTCAGCAACAACAAGACACAGACCTTCTCTCTCAGCAACAAGACACAGACCTTCTCTCTCAGCAACAACAAGACACAGACCTTCTCTCTCAGCAACAAGACACAGACCTTCTCTCCCAGCAACAACAAGACACAGACCTTCTCTCCCAGCAACAACAAGACACAGACCTTCTCTCTCAGCAACAACAAGACACAGACCTTCTCTCCCAGCAACAACAAGACACAGACCTTCTCTCCCAGCAACAACAAGACACAGACCTTCTCTCCCAACAACAAGACACAGACCTTCTCTCCCAGCAACAACAAGACACAGACCTTCTCTCTCAGCAACAACAAGACACAGACCTTCTCTCCCAGCAACAACAAGACACAGACCTTCTCTCCCAGCAACAACAAGACACAGACCTTCTCTCCCAGCAACAACAAGACACAGACCTTCTCTCCCAGCAACAACAAGACACAGACCTTCTCTCCCAGCAACAACAAGACACAGACATTCTCTCAGCAACAACAAGACACAGACCTTCTCTCCCAGCAACAACAAGACACAGACCTTCTCTCCCAGCAACAACAAGACACAGACCTTCTCTCCCAGCAACAACAAGACACAGACCTTCTCTCCCAGCAACAAGACACAGACCTTCTCTCTCAGCAACAAGACACAGACCTTCTCTCCCAACAACAACAAGACACAGACCTTCTCTCTCAGCAACAAGACACAGACCTTCTCTCCCAACAACAACAAGACACAGACCTTCTCTCTCAGCAACAAGACACAGACCTTCTCTCCCAGCAACAACAAGACACAGACCTTCTCTCTCAACAACAACAAGACACAGACCTTCTCTCTCAGCAACAACAAGACACAGACCTTCTCTCCCAGCAACAACAAGACACAGACCTTCTCTCCCAACAACAAGACACAAACCTTCTCTCCCAGCAACAAGACACAGACCTTCTCTCAGCAACAACAAGACACATACCTTCTCTCCCAGCAACAACAAGACACAGACCTTCTCTCCCAGCAACAAGACACAGACCTTCTCTCCCAGCAACAACAAGACACAGACCTTCTCTCCCAGCAACAAGACACAGACCTTCTCACAACAATAACAAGACACAGACCTTCTCACAACAACAACAAGACACAGACCTTCTCTCTCAACAACAACAAGACACAGACCTTCTCTCCCAGCAACAACAAGACACAGACCTTCTCTCCCAGCAACAACAAGACACAGACCTTCTCTCCCAGCAACAACAAGACACAGACCTTCTCTCAGCAACAAGACACAGACCTTCTCTCTCAGCAACAAGACACAGACCTTCTCTCCCAGCAACAAGACACAGACCTTCTCTCTCAGCAACAACAAGACACAGACCTTCTCTCCCAGCAACAACAAGACACAGACCTTCTCTCCCAGCAACAACAAGACACAGACCTTCTCTCAGCAACAACAAGACACAGACCTTCTCTCTCAGCAACAACAAGACACAGACCTTCTCTCTCTGCAACAACAAGACACAGACCTTCTCTCTCAGCAACAACAAGACACAGACCTTCTCTCTCAGCAACAACAAGACACAGACCTTCTCTCCCAGCAACAACAAGACACAGACCTTCTCTCTCAGCAACAACAAGACACAGACCTTCTCTCCCAGCAACAACAAGACACAGACCTTCTCTCTCAACAACAACAAGACACAGACCTTCTCTCCCAGCAACAACAAGACACAGACCTTCTCTCTCAGCAACAACAAGACACAGACCTTCTCTCCCAGCAACAACAAGACACAGACCTTCTCTCCCAGCAACAACAAGACACAGACCTTCTCTCTCAGCAACAACAAGACACAGACCTTCTCTCAGCAACAAGACACAGACCTTTTCTCCCAGCAACAACAAGACACAGACCTTCTCTCTCAACAACAAGACACAGACCTTCTCTCTCAGCAACAAGACACAGACCTTCTCTCCCAGCAACAAGACACAGACCTTCTCTCTCAGCAACAACAAGACACAGACCTTCTCTCCCAGCAACAACAAGACACAGACCTTCTCTCCCAGCAACAACAAGACACAGACCTTCTCTCAGCAACAACAAGACACAGACCTTCTCTCTCAGCAACAACAAGACACAGACCTTCTCTCTCAGCAACAAGACACAGACCTTCTCTCTCAGCAACAAGACACAGACCTTCTCTCCCAGCTACAACAAGACACAGACCTTCTCTCTCAGCAACAACAAGACACAGACCTTCTCTCTCAACAACAAGACACAGACCTTCTCTCTCAGCAACAACAAGACACAGACCTTCTCTCTCAGCAACAAGACACAGACCTTCTCTCCCAGCTACAACAAGACACAGACCTTCTCTCCCAGCAACAACAAGACACAGACCTTCTCTCCCAGCAACAACAAGACACAGACCTTCTCTCCCAGCAACAACAAGACACAGACCTTCTCTCTCAACAACAAGACACAGACCTTCTCACAACAACAAGACACAGACCTTCTCTCCCAACAACAACAAGACACAGACCTTCTCTCCCAGCAACAACAAGACACAGACCTTCTCTCCCAGCAACAACAAGACACAGACCTTCTCTCCCAACAACAACAAGACACAGACCTTCTCCCAGCAACAACAAGACACAGACCTTCTCTCCCAGCAACAACAAGACACAGACCTTCTCTCTCAACAACAAGACACAGACCTTCTCTCTCAACAACAAGACACAGACCTTCTCTCCCAGCAACAAAACACAGACCTTCTCTCCCAGCAACAACAAGACACAGACCTTCTCTCCCAGCAACAAGACACAGACCTTCTCTCTCAGCAACAAGACACAGACCTTCTCTCCCAGCAACAACAAGACACAGACCTTCTCTCTCAGCAACAAGACACAGACCTTCTCTCCCAGCAACAAGACACAGACCTTCTCTCCCAGCAACAACAAGACACAGACCTTCTCTCCCAGCAACAACAAGACACAGACCTTCTCTCTCAGCAACAACAAGACACAGACCTTCTCACAACAACAACAAGACAGAGACCTTCTCTCAGCAACAACAAGACACAGACCTTCTCTCCCAGCAACAACAAGACACAGACCTTCTCCCAGCAACAACAAGACACAGACCTTCTCTCCCAGCAACAACAAGACACAGACCTTCTCTCCCAGCAGCAACAAGACACAGACCTTCTCTCTCAGCAACAAGACACAGACCTTCTCTCCCAGCAACAACAAGACACAGACCTTCTCTCCCAGCAACAAGACACAGACCTTCTCCCAGCAACAAGACACAGACCTTCTCTCTCAGCAACAACAAGACACAGACCTTCTCTCTCAGCAACAACAAGACACAGACCTTCTCCCAGCAACAACAAGACACAGACCTTCTCCCAGCAACAACAAGACACAGACCTTCTCTCTCAGCAACAACAAGACACAGACCTTCTCTCCCAACAACAACAAGACACAGACCTTCTCTCCCAACAACAACAAGACACAGACCTTCTCTCCCAACAACAACAAGACACAGACCTTCTCCCAGCAACAACAAGACACAGACCTTCTCTCTCAACAACAAGACACAGACCTTCTCTCCCAGCAACAACAAGACACAGACCTTCTCTCTCAGCAACAAGACACAGACCTTCTCTCCCAACAACAACAAGACACAGACCTTCCCTCTCAGCAACAAGACACAGACCTTCTCTCCCAGCAACAACAAGACACAGACCTTCTCTCTCAACAACAACAAGACACAGACCTTCTCTCCCAGCAACAACAAGACACAGACCTTCTCTCCCAGCAACAACAAGACACAGACCTTCTCTCTCAGCAACAACAAGACACATACCTTCTCTCTCAGCAACAAGACACAGACCTTCTCTCTCAGCAACAACAAGACACAGACCTTCTCTCTCAACAACAAGACACAGACCTTCTCTCCCAGCAACAACAAGACACAGACCTTCTCTCCCAGCAACAAGACACAGACCTTCTCTCTCAGCAACAACAAGACACAGACCTTCTCTCCCAGCAACAACAAGACACAGACCTTCTCTCCCAGCAACAAGACACAGACCTTCTCTCTCAGCAACAAGACACAGACCTTCTCCCAGCAACAACAAGACACAGACCTTCTCTCCCAGCAACAAGACACAGACCTTCTCTCCCAGCAACAAGACACAGACCTTCTCTCTCAGCAACAAGACACAGACCTTCTCTCTCAGCAACAACAAGACACAGACCTTCTCTCCCAGCAACAACAAGACACAGACCTTCTCTCCCAGCAACAAGACACAGACCTTCTCTCCCAGCAACAACAAGACACAGACCTTCTCTCCCAGCAACAATAAGACACAGACCTTCTCTCTCAGCAACAACAAGACACAGACCTTCTCTCCCAGCAACAATAAGACACAGACCTTCTCTCCCAGCAACAACAAGACACAGACCTTCTCTCCCAGCAACAACAAGACACAGACCTTCTCTCCCAGCAACAACAAGACACAGACCTTCTCTCTCAGCAACAACAAGACACAGACCTTCTCACAACAACAACAAGACAGAGACCTTCTCTCAGCAACAACAAGACACAGACCTTCTCTCCCAGCAACAACAAGACACATACCTTCTCTCTCAGCAACAAGACACAGACCTTCTCTCTCAGCAACAAGACACAGACCTTCTCTCCCAGCAACAACAAGACACAGACCTTCTCACAACAACAAGACACAGACCTTCTCTCAGCAACAACAAACCTTCTACATCAAACATACTCTGTTACCATTAAAATTCTCTTATCCCATTCATTACATCTATCATCGGTATAGATATTGCTTGTGTGAGTGTTTAACAGTTCAGCATATTGGTGTGTGAGTGTTTAACAGTGCAGCGTATTGGTGTGTGAGTGTTTAACATTGCAGCATATTGGTGTGTGAGTGTTTTACAGTGCAGCTTATAAGTTGTGTGAGTGTTTTACAGTGCAGCATATTGGTTGTGAGTGTTTAACTTTGCAGCATATTGGTTGTGTGAGTGTTTTAGAGTGCAGCATATAGCTTGTGAGTGTTTAACTTTGCAGCATATTGGTTGTGTGAGTGTTTTACAGTGCAGCATATTGGTTGTGAGTGTTTAACTTTGCAGCATATATCTTGTGTGAGTTTAACTTTACAGCATATTGGTTGTGAGTGTTTAACTTTGCAGCATATTGGTTGTCTTATTGTGTGACATTGTTGACCTGTTATAGGGATGATGGATGTCCTACCCCGCTGGGAGAGATGGACTTACTGGACAGTGACCATTTCAAGTATCTGTTATTCTTTGTATTTACTACACCTTGAGGGCAAAAGTAAGTTGATTCATATTTCAAGTATCTGTTATTCTTTGTATTTACTACACCTTGAGGGCAAAAGTAAGTTGATTCATATTTCAAGTATCTGTTATTCTTTGTATTTACTACACCTTGAGGGCAAAAGTAAGTTGATTCATATTTCAAGTAGCTGTTGTTCTTTGTGTTTACTACACATTGAGGGCAAAAGTAAGTTGATTCATATTTCAAGTAGCTGTTGTTCTTTGTGTTTACAGTAGCTGTTGTTCTTTGTGTTTACAGTAGCTGTTGTTCTTTGTGTTTACAGTAGCTGTTGTTCTTTGTGTTTACAGTAGCTGTTGTTCTTTGTGTTTACTACACCTTGAGGGCAAAAGTAAGTTGATTCATATTTCAAGTAGCTGTTGTTCTTTGTGTTTACTACAACCCTGAGATTGCAACCCTAATCTTTCAGCTGGCACATGAGGGTACATAGATAAAGCATCTTGTTAGATTTTTTTCCCAATATGCTTCCATACCCCACCCTAACCATACCCCACCCTTACCATACCCCACCCTAACCATACCCCACCCTAACCATACCCCACCCTAACCATACCCCACCCTAACCATACCCCACCCTAACCATACCCCACCCTAACCATACCCCACCCTAACCATACCCCACCCTAACCATACCCCACCCTAACCATACCCCACCCTAACCATACCCCACCCTAACCATACCCCACCATAACCAAACCTCACCATAACCATACCCCACCCTAACCATACCCCACCCTAACCATACCCCACCCTAACCATACCCCACCCTAACCATACCCCACCCTAACCATACCCCACCCTAACCATACCCCACCCTAACCATACCCCACCCTAACCATACCCCACCCTAACCATACCCCACCCTAACCATACCCCACCCTAACCATACCCCACCCTAACCATACCCCACCCTAACCATACCCCACCCAAACCATACCCCACCCTAACCATACCCCACCCTAACCATACCCCACCCTAACCATACCCCACCCTAACCATACCCCACCCTAACCATACCCCACCCTAACCATACCCCACCCTAACCATACCCCACCCTAACCATACCCCACCCTAACCATACCCCACCCTAACCATACCCCACCCTAGCCATAGCCCACCCTAGCCATACCCCACCCTAGCCATACCCCACCCTAGCCATACCCCACCCTAGCCATACCCCACCCTAACCATACCCCACCCTAACCATACCCCACCCTAACCATACCCCACCCTAACCATACCCCACCCTAACCATACCCCACCCTAACCATAGCCCACCCTAACCATACCCCACCCTAACCATACCCCACCCTAACCCTACCCCACACTGTACTGGAAGTGGTATACAAATTGTATCTTTGTTTTTTTACTCTTACACCAATTCTATTCATTTCAAAAGTATGCATTGAATGCTATACTAGAGTTAGGGATGGTAGAAAAATATGTCTTTTTTTGCTTTAAATTTTGAACATATATCTGTATATCTCTTTTATGAGCAAAGAAAAAAAATAGTCTGTTTGTACTAAATATTTTATCTTTTATAAACAAGCAAAAAAAAAATTAATTGCTTCATAAAATTTTTAAAAATTAAGACTCATATGCATCGGAAAAACCATAATTTTCTTTTCTCCATCCTTACCAGAATTAAAGAGTGATTTGTACTATTCCAATTTGTTTTTTCCATCCTTAACAGAATTAAAGAGTGATTTGTACTATTCCAATTTTCAAGCTGGGTGGTCTTGGATAGCAAGCGATCAGGTCAGTTTTAAAAAACCCTCAAGGAATAAAATCCTAACCCTTTTCAGAAACTGAAAAAAATTAAAGGAAATAAAGAAATCCATTTGTTATGGTCCATTCACATGTAATGTGATTGAAGAAGTCCATTTGTTATGGTCCATTCACATGTAATGTGATTGAAGAAGTCCATTTGTTATGGTCCATTCACATGTAATGTGATTGAAGAAGTCCATTTGTTTCCCAAATTTGCTGAAACTTAAAGCAAGAACTGGCTCACTCAGTTGTCTAAGATTTGCGTGTCACCTTTCAGGACCTCACAGATTTCAGTTGTCTAAGATTTGCGTGTCACCTTTCAGGACCTCACAGATTTAGAGTGGTTGGTGTGGAGGAATTGGCTGACAACCTTTCTATTTTACAATGGTTTACATATTGTCATTTCACAACTATGCTTTTGCCTCAAAGTTCAACCTCAGGTTAGTTTTTGTACATTTGTTCACGCAAGAAAGCATTTAATTGGAAGTAGTTTGTACATGACTGACGTATTTCCATTACCATGTTACACACTTAACATGTCAGAGCTCACAGGTGTCACTGCTATTGTGCCCTTGACAATCTGACATGAGCAAAACTGTTACTGTCAGTGGCGTAGCGAGGTCGGGTATCACCCGGTGCGGCACTTAATGGTGTCACCCCCCTAAACGGTGTCACCCGGTGCGGTCCGCACCCCCCGCACCCCCCTCGCTACGCCCCTGGTTACTGTCATGTGTTAGACATCTGTCACTTGCATGTGTCACATCTGAGATGCCACTAACATGTGTCACATCTGAGATGCCACTAACATGTGTAACATCTGAGATGCCACTAACATGTGTCACATCTGAGATGCCACTAACATGTCACATCTGAGATGGCACTAACATGTCACATCTGAGATGGCACTAACATGTCACATCTGAGATGGCACTAACATGTCACATCTGAGATGGCACTAACATGTCACATCTGAGATGCCACTAACATGTCACATCTGAGATGCCACTAACATGTGTCACATCTCAGATGCCACTAATATGTGTCACATCTGAGATGCCACTAACATGTGTCACATCTGAGATGCCACTAACATGTCACATCTGAGATGCCACTAACATGTCACATCTGAGATGCCACTAACATGTGTCACATCTGAGATGCCACTAACATGTCACATCTGAGATGCCACTAACATGTGTCACATCTGAGATGCCACTAACATGTGTCACATCTGAGATGGCACTAACATGTCACATCTGAGATGGCACTAACATGTGTCACATCTGAGATGGCACTAACATGTCACATCTGAGATGCCACTAACATGTCACATCTGAGATAGCACTAACATGTAACATCTGAGATGCCACTAACATGTCACATCTGAGATGGCACTAACATGTCACATCTGAGATGCCACTAACATGTGTCACATCTGAGATGCCACTAACATGTCACATCTGAGATGCCACTAACATGTCACATCTGAGATGCCACTAACATGTCACATCTGAGATGCCACTAACATGTCACATCTGAGATGCCACTAACATGTCACATCTGAGATGCCACTAACATGTGTCACATCTGAGATGCCACTAACATGTCACATCTGAGATGCCACTAACATGTCACATCTGAGATGCCACTAACATGTGTCACATCTGAGATGCCACTAACATGTCACATCTGAGATGCCACTAATATGTGTCACATCTGAGATGCCACTAACATGTGTCACATCTGAGATGCCACTAACATGTGTCACATCTGAGATGCCACTAACATGTCACATCTGAGATGCCACTAACATGTCACATCTGAGATGCCACTAACATGTGTCACATCTGAAATGCCACTAACATGTCACATCTGAGATGCCACTAACATGTGTCACATCTGAGATGCCACTAACATGTCACATCTGAGATGCCACTAACATGTGTCACATATGACATGCCACTAACATGTCACATCTGAGATGCCACTAACATGTCACATATGAGATGCCACTAACATGTGTCACATTTGAGATGCCACTAACATGTGTCACATTTGAGATGCCACTAACATGTCACATATGAGATGCCACTAACATGTCACATCTGAGATGCCACTAACATGTGTCACATTTGAGATGCCACTAACATGTGTCACATCTGAGATGCCACTAACATGTCACATATGAGATGCCACTAACATGTCACATCTGAGATGCCACTAACATGTGTCACATCTGAGATGCCACTAACATGTCACATCTGAGATGCCACTAACATGTGTCACATCTGAGATGCCACTAACATGTCACATCTCAGATGCCACTAATATGTGTCACATCTGAGATGCCACTAACATGTCACATCTGAGATGCCACTAACATGTCACATCTGAGATGCCACTAACATGTGTCACATCTGAGATGCCACTAACATGTCACATCTGAGATGCCACTAATATGTGTCACATCTGAGATGCCACTAACATGTCACATCTGAGATGCCACTAACATGTCACATCTGAGATGCCACTAACATGTGTCACATTTGAGATGCCACTAACATGTGTCACATCTGAGATGCCACTAACATGTGTCACATCTGAGATGCCACTAACATGTGTCACATCTGAGATGCCACTAACATGTCACATCTGAGATGCCACTAACATGTGTCACATTTGAGATGCCACTAACATGTGTCACATCTGAGATGCCACTAATATGTGTCACATCTGAGATGCCACTAACATGTCACATCTGAGATGCCACTAACATGTGTCACATCTGAGATGCCACTAACATGTGTCACATCTGAGATGGCACTAACATGTCACATCTGAAATGCCACTAACATGTGTCACATCTGAGATGCCACTAACATGTCACATCTGAGATGCCACTAACATGTCACATCTGAGATGCCACTAACATGTGTCACATCTGAGATGCCACTAACATGTCACATCTGAGATGCCACTAACATGTCACATCTGAGATGCCACTAACATGTCACATCTGAGATGCCACTAACATGTGTCACATCTGAGATGCCACTAACATGTCACATCTGAGATGCCACTAACATGTCACATCTGAGATGCCACTAACATGTGTCACATCTGAGATGCCACTAACATGTCACATCTGAGATGCCACTAACATGTCACATCTGAGATGCCACTAACATGTCATATCTGAGATGCCACTAACATGTCACATCTGAGATGCCACTAACATGTCACATCTGAGATGCCACTAACATGTCACATCTGAGATGCCACTAACATGTGTCACATCTGAGATGCCACTAACATGTCACATCTGAGATGCCACTAACATTTGTCACATATGAGATGCCACTAACATGTGTCACATTTGAGATGCCACTAACATGTCACATATGACATGCCACTAACATGTCACATCTGAGATGCCACTAACATGTGTCACATCTGAGATGCCACTAACATGTGTCACATCTGAGATGCCACTAACATGTGTCACATCTGAGATGCCACTAACATGTGTCACATCTGAGATGCCACTAACATGTGTCACATCTGAGATGCCACTAACATGTCACATCTGAGATGCCACTAACATGTGTCACATCTGAGATGCCACTAACATGTCACATCTGAGATGCCACTAACATGTGTCACATCTGAGATGCCACTAACATGTCACATCTGATATGCTACTAATATGTGTCACATCTGAGATGCCACTAACATGTGTCACATCTGAGATGCCACTAACATGTGTCACATCTGAGATGCCACTAACATGTCACATCTGAAATGCCACTAACATGTGTCACATCTGAGATGCCACTAACATGTCACATCTGAGATGCCACTAACATGTCACATCTGAGATGCCACTAACATGTGTCACATCTGAGATGCCACTAACATGTCACATCTGAGATGCCACTAACATGTCACATATGAGATGCCACTAACATGTGTCACATTTGAGATGCCACTAACATGTGTCACATTTGAGATGCCACTAACATGTCACATATGAGATGCCACTAACATGTCACATCTGAGATGCCACTAACATGTGTCACATCTGAGATGCCACTAACATGTGTCACATCTGAGATGCCACTAACATGTCACATATGAGATGCCACTAATATGTCACATCTGAGATGCCACTAACATGTGTCACATCTGAGATGCCACTAACATGTCACATCTGAGATGCCACTAACATGTGTCACATCTGAGATGCCACTAACATGTCACATCTGAGATGCCACTAATATGTGTCACATCTGAGATGCCACTAACATGTCACATCTGAGATGCCACTAACATGTCACATCTGAGATGCCACTAACATGTGTCACATCTGAGATGCCACTAACATGTCACATCTGAGATGCCACTAACATGTGTCACATCTGAGATGCCACTAACATGTCACATATGAGATGCCACTAATATGTCACATCTGAGATGCCACTAACATGTGTCACATCTGAGATGCCACTAACATGTCACATCTGAGATGCCACTAACATGTGTCACATCTGAGATGCCACTAACATGTCACATCTGAGATGCCACTAATATGTGTCACATCTGAGATGCCACTAACATGTCACATCTGAGATGCCACTAACATGTCACATCTGAGATGCCACTAACATGTGTCACATCTGAGATGCCACTAACATGTCACATCTGAGATGCCACTAACATGTGTCACATCTGAGATGCCACTAACATGTCACATCTGAGATGCCACTAATATGTGTCACATCTGAGATGCCACTAACATGTCACATCTGAGATGCCACTAACATGTCACATCTGAGATGCCACTAACATGTGTCACATTTGAGATGCCACTAACATGTGTCACATCTGAGATGCCACTAATATGTGTCACATCTGAGATGCCACTAACATGTCACATCTGAGATGCCACTAACATGTCACATCTGAGATGCCACTAACATGTGTCACAATTGAGATGCCACTAACATGTGTCACATCTGAGATGCCACTAACATGTCACATCTGAGATGCCACTAAAATGTCACGTCTGAGATACCACTAACATGTGTCACAACAAACGTCACTGATATGTTTTTCAGATGCGAGCAGCTATTGTGGTAGTGTATGACCTAAGTGCTATTGCTCTTGTCCTGGGGCTGAGGCCACTGGCTATGTTTCTTCTCAAGTTCTTCATTGTGTATCTCCTGACCTACACACAGAGGATTTCTCTTCTCACCATCACATGTTGTACCTTCACAGCCTTATCCCTCAGCCGTACTTTTGTCTACACGCAGGTAGGCTTTACGTCTTTTGTCTACATGCAGGTTGGCTTTATGTCTTTTGTCTACATGCAGGTAGGCTTTATGTCTTTTGTCTACATGCAGGTTGGCTTTACGTCGTTTTGTCTAAACGCAGGTGGGCTTTACGTCTTTTGTCTACATGCAGGTGGGCTTGACGTCTTTTGTCTACATGCAGGTGGGCTTTATGTCTTTTGTCTACATGCAGGTGGGCTTTATGTCTTTTGTCTACATGCAGGCGGGCTTTATGTCTTTTGTCTACATGCAGGTGGGCTTTATGTCTACACGCAGGTGGGCTTTATGTCTACATGCAGGTGGGCTTTATGTCTTTTGTCTACACGCAGGTGGGCTTTATGTCTTTTGTCTACATGCAGGTGGGCTTTATGTCTTTTGTCTACATGCAGGTGGGCTTTATGTCTACATGCAGGTAGGCTTTATGTCTTTTGTCTACATGCAGGTGGGCTTTATGTCTACATGCAGGTGGGCTTTATGTCTACATGCAGGTGGGCTTTATGTCTTTTGTCTACATGCAGGTGGGCTTTATGTCTTTTGTCTTCATGCAGGTGGGCTTTATGTCTTTTGTCTACATGCAGGTGGGCTTTATGTCTTTTGTCTACATGCAGGTGGGCTTAATGTCTACACGCAGGTGGGCTTTACGTCTTTTGTCTACATGCAGGTGGGCTTTACATCTTTTGTCTACATGCAGGTGGGCTTTACGTCTTTTTTCTTTACGCAGGTGGGCTTTACGTCTTTTGTCTACATGCAGGTGGGCTTTACGTCTTTTGTCTACATGCAGGTGGGCTTTACGTCTTTTGTCTATACGCAGGTGGGCTTTACGTCTTTTGTCTACATGCAGGTGGGCTTTACGTCTTTTGTCTACATGCAGGTGGGCTTTATGTCTACATGAAGGTGGGCTTTACGTCTTTTGTCTACACGCAGGTGGGCTTTACGTCTTTTGTCTACATGCAGGTGGGCTTTATGTCTACATGCAGGTGGGCTTTACGTCTTTTGTCTACATGCAGGTGGGCTTTACGTCTTTTGTATACATGCAGGTGGGCTTTACGTCTTTTGTCTACATGCAGGTGGGCTTTACGTCTACACGCAGGTGGGCTTTACGTCTTTTGTCTACATGCAGGTGGGCTTTACGTCTTTTGTATACATGCAGGTGGGCTTTACGTCTTTTGTATACATGCAGGTGGGCTTTACGTCTTTTGTCTACATGCAGGTGGGCTTTACGTCTTTTGTCTACATGCAGGTGGGCTTTACGTCTTTTGTATACATGCAGGTGGGCTTTATGTCTACATGCAGGTGGGCTTTACGTCTTTTGTATACATGCAGGTGGGCTTTATGTCTTTTGTCTTCATGCAGGTGGGCTTTACGTCTACACGCAGGTGGGCTTTATGTGTTTTGTCTACATGCAGGTGGGCTTTATGTCTTTTGTCTACATGCAGGTGGGCTTTATGTCTTTTGTCTACATGCAGGTGGGCTTTATGTCTTTTGTCTACATGCAGGTGGGCTTTATGTCTTTTGTCTACATGCAGGTGGGCTTTATGTCTTTTGTCTACATGCAGGTGGGCTTAATGTCTACACGCAGGTAGGCTTTACGTCTTTTGTCTACATGCAGGTGGGCTTTACGTCTTTTGTCTACATGCAGGTGGGCTTTACGTCTTTTGTCTACACGCAGGTGGGCTTTATGTCTTTTGTCTACATGCAGGTGGGCTTAATGTCTACACGCAGGTAGGCTTTACGTCTTTTGTCTACATGCAGGTGGGCTTTATGTCTTTTGTCTACATGCAGGTGGGCTTTACGTCTTTTGTCTACATGCAGGTGGGCTTTATGTCTTTTGTCTACACGCAGGTGGGCTTTATGTCTACATGCAGGTGGGCTTTACGTCTTTTGTCTACATGCAGGTGGGCTTTACGTCTTTTGTATACATGCAGGTGGGCTTTACGTCTACACGCAGGTGGGCTTTACGTCTTTTGTCTTCATGCAGGTGGGCTTAATGTCTACACGCAGGTAGGCTTTACATCTTTTGTCTACACGCAGGTGGGCTTTATGTCTTTTGTCTACACGCAGGTGGGCTTTACGTCTACACGCAGGTGGGCTTTACGTCTTTTGTCTTCATGCAGGTGGGCTTTACGTCTACACGCAGGTGGGCTTTATGTCTTTTGTCTACATGCAGGTGGGCTTTATGTCTTTTGTCTACATGCAGGTGGGCTTAATGTCTACACGCAGGTGGGCTTTACGTCTTTTGTCTACATGCAGGTGGGCTTTACGTCTTTTGTATACATGCAGGTGGGCTTTACGTCTTTTGTCTACATGCAGGTGGGCTTTACGTCTACACGCAGGTGGGCTTTACGTCTTTTGTCTTCATGCAGGTGGGCTTTACGTCTACACGCAGGTGGGCTTTATGTGTTTTGTCTACATGCAGGTGGGCTTTATGTCTTTTGTCTACATGCAGGTGGGCTTTATGTGTTTTGTCTACATGCAGGTGGGCTTTATGTCTTTTGTCTACATGCAGGTGGGCTTGACGTCTTTTGTCTACATGCAGGTGGGCTTTATGTCTTTTGTCTACATGCAGGTGGGCTTTACGTCTTTTGTCTACATGCAGGTGGGCTTTATGTCTTTTGTCTACATGCAGGTGGGCTTTATGTCTTTTGTCTACATGCAGGTGGGCTTTACGTCTTTTGTATACATGCAGGTGGGCTTTACGTCTACACGCAGGTGGGCTTTACGTCTTTTGTCTTCATGCAGGTGGGCTTAATGTCTACACGCAGGTAGGCTTTACATCTTTTGTCTACACGCAGGTGGGCTTTATGTCTTTTGTCTACACGCAGGTGGGCTTTACGTCTACACGCAGGTGGGCTTTACGTCTTTTGTCTTCATGCAGGTGGGCTTTACGTCTACACGCAGGTGGGCTTTATGTCTTTTGTCTACATGCAGGTGGGCTTTATGTCTTTTGTCTACATGCAGGTGGGCTTAATGTCTACACGCAGGTGGGCTTTACGTCTTTTGTCTACATGCAGGTGGGCTTTACGTCTTTTGTATACATGCAGGTGGGCTTTACGTCTTTTGTCTACATGCAGGTGGGCTTTACGTCTACACGCAGGTGGGCTTTACGTCTTTTGTCTTCATGCAGGTGGGCTTTACGTCTACACGCAGGTGGGCTTTATGTGTTTTGTCTACATGCAGGTGGGCTTTATGTCTTTTGTCTACATGCAGGTGGGCTTTATGTGTTTTGTCTACATGCAGGTGGGCTTTATGTCTTTTGTCTACATGCAGGTGGGCTTGACGTCTTTTGTCTACATGCAGGTGGGCTTTATGTCTTTTGTCTACATGCAGGTGGGCTTTACGTCTTTTGTCTACATGCAGGTGGGCTTTATGTCTTTTGTCTACATGCAGGTGGGCTTTATGTCTTTTGTCTACATGCAGGTGGGCTTTATGTCTTTTGTCTACATGCAGGTGGGCTTAATGTCTACACGCAGGTAGGCTTTACGTCTTTTGTCTACATGCAGGTGGGCTTTACGTCTTTTGTCTACATGCAGGTGGGCTTAATGTCTACACGCAGGTGGGCTTTATATCTTTTGTCTACATGCAGGTGGGCTTTATGTCTTTTGTCTACATGCAGGTGGGCTTTATGTCTTTTGTCTACATGCAGGTGGGCTTTACGTCTTTTGTCTACATGCAGGTGGGCTTGACGTCTTTTGTCTACATGCAGGTGGGCTTTACGTCTTTTGTCTACATGCAGGTGGGCTTTATGTCTTTTGTCTACATGCAGGTGGGCTTTATGTCTTCATGCAGGTGGGTTTTATGTCTTTTGTCTACATGCAGGTGGGCTTTACGTCTTTTGTCTACATGCAGGTGGGCTTTATGTCTTTTGTCTACATGCAGGTGGGCTTTATGTCTTTTGTCTACATGCAGGTGGGCTTTATGTCTTTTGTCTACATGCAGGTGGGCTTTACGTCTTTTGTCTACATGCAGGTGGGCTTTATGTCTTTTGTCTACATGCAGGTGGGCTTTATGTCTTCATGCAGGTGGGCTTTATGTCTTTTGTCTACATGCAGGTGGGCTTTACGTCTTTTGTCTACATGCAGGTGGGCTTTATGTCTTTTGTCTACATGCAGGTGGGCTTTATGTCTTTTGTCTACATGCAGGTGGGCTTTATGTCTTTTGTCTACATGCAGTTGGGCTTTACGTCTTTTGTCTACATGCAGGTGGGCTTTATGTCTTTTGTCTACATGCAGGTGGGCTTTATGTCTTTTGTCTACATGCAGGTGGGCTTTATGTCTTTTGTCTACATGCAGGTGGGCTTTAGGTCTTTTGTCTACATGCAGGTGGGCTTTACGTCTACACGCAGGTGGGCTTTACGTCTTTTGTCTACATGCAGGTGGGCTTTACGTCTACACGCAGGTGGGCTTTATGTCTTTTGTCTACATGCAGGTGGGCTTTACGTCTTTTGTCTACATGCAGGTGGGCTTTATGTCTTTTGTCTACATGCAGGTGGGCTTTATGTCTTTTGTCTACATGCAGGTGGGCTTAATGTCTACATGCAGGTAGGCTTTACGTCTTTTGTCTACATGCAGGTGGGCTTTATGTCTTTTGTCTACATGCAGGTAGGCTTTACTTCTTTTGTCTCTTGTCTTCACAATGGCTCATAAGGTGTGTGCACTTGTATCAACTTTTGCAATGTGATCCCATTCTCTTCTATTTTAAAACATTGACCCCCACCTCCTGCTCCCCCCCCCTCCATCCATCCCAGGTTGGTGCAAACATTTTCCACTAAGCGTTGTTGAGATACAATGACTTTTTTTAAAGTATCATAACTGTATCATTTAGTCTAGAAATGAATGAATTGGTTTAAAATTAATTTTTTTTAAAGTATCATAACTGTATCATTTGGTCTAGAAATGAATGAATGGGTTTAAAATTAATTTTTTTAAAGTATCATAACTGTATCATTTAGTCTAGAAATGAATGAATTGGTTTAAAAATTTTTAAAAGTATCATAACCGTATCATTTAGTCTAGAAATGAATGAATTGGTTTAAAATTAATTTTTTTAAAGTATCATAACTGTATCATTTAGTCTAGAAATGAATGAATTGGTTTAAAATTAATTTTTTTAAAGTATCATAACTGTATCATTTAGTCTAGAAATGAATGAATTGGTTTAAAATTAATTTTTTTAAAGTATCATAACTGTATCATTTAGTCTAGAAATGAATGAATTGGTTTAAAAAATTTTAAAAGTATCATAACTGTATCATTTAGTCTAGAAATGAATGAATTGGTTCAAAATTAATTTTTTTAAAGTATGATAACTGTATCATTTAGTCTAGAAATGAATGAATTGGTTTAAAATTAATTTTTTTAAAGTATCATAACTGTATCATTTAGTCTAGAAATGAATGAATTGGTTTAAAATTAATTTTTTTAAAGTATCATAACTGTATCATTTAGTCTAGAAATGAATGAATTGGTTTAAAATTAATTTTTTTAAAGTATCATAACTGTATCATTTAGTCTAGAAATGAATGAATTGGTTTAAAATTAATTTTTTTTAAAGTATCATAACTGTATCATTTAGTCTAGAAATGAATGAATTGGTTTAAAATTAATTTTTTTAAAGTATCATAACTGACATTACCCAGATAACCTAAAATGTTCTTTGACATTTTTTTATTTTCAGGTCGAGTACCTAGCCCTAACTACTATGGACCTTCGCTTTTTGTATCAGGTTTCCAATGGGTTTTTTGAACTCAACCTGTTTTCATTTGCTGTTGAAAAAGTGAAACTCTCCACCTCCAAGGCCACGACTAGACCAACCCTCTTTGATTACATGTACTATGTCTTTCATGTGGGCAAATTTTTTGATGGCCCCATTTATCTGTTTCCTCAGTTCTACTCTGACAGCCAGACCTCCAGCAGCCCCATCCCCAGGTGCTGGAGGGAGAGCCTCTTCAGGGTTGCTCGGCTCATCTTTTGGGCTCTGTTTTTGGAGCTACAGGCTCATTTTTTGTATTTGAGTGCCCTGGGAGAAAATTTGGATGGGGTTAAACAATTATCACTTCCTGCACTTCTTGGCATGTGCTACATCCAAGGTCAGTTTTTCATGGTCAAGTACGTGCTGTTGTATGGCATGAGTGGAGAGTTTTTGAGATTAGACGGGGTTAGTCCCCACCCATGGCCTCGCTGCATCAGCTGGGTCTACTCATATGTTGATATGTGGAAGCACTTTGATGTTGGTCTCTATCAATTTATGAAGACATACATCTACACTCCATTGGGAGGGTCTACAGCAGGGCCCATCAGGAGAGTTTTGGCCTCTGGTATTTGTTTCTTCTTCATCTACGCCTGGCATGGTGCCACTAAAGCCTTGTTCATATGGTGTTTGGGAAATTATTTGACAGGACTTCTTCAGGCTGCTGCCACTGCACTTGAGCATTCACACTTTGGACTGAGACTGGTAGGTACCACCTCAACCAAACATGTCATCCAACACTCAACCAAACATGTCATCCAACACTCAACCAAACATGTCACACAACCAAACATGTCATCCAACACTCAACCAAACATGTCACTCAACCAAACATGTAACTCAACCAAACATGTCATCCATCACTCAACCAAACATGTCATCCATCACTCAACCAAATGTGTCATTCATCACTCAACCAAATGTGTCATTCATCACTCAACCAAATGTGTCATTCATCACTCAACCAAACATGTCATCCATCACTCAACCCACGTCATCCATCACTCAACCAAACATGTCATCCATCACTCAACCAAATGTGTCATTCATCTCTCAACCAAACATGTCATCCATCACTCAACCAAACGTGTCATTCATCACTCAACCAAACCTGTCATCCATCACTCAACCAAACGTGTCATTTATCACTCAACCAAACATGTCACTCAACCAATCAAGACGCAGCTATCACCCACAAACCCTGCATCTAAATATATGATTGGATGAAAGAATCGATTAGACTATACTGACACCAATCACTAATGGGTGTGGTTTTATTTGCTTTTTTACTTTCCCAGCAGAGGGGCATGTTTGAATAGGGGGGAGGGGGGTTGCATGTGTGTAGCTTGTATGGTGGGGTTGCATTTGATTATTTTGTTAGTGTTTCATTTCAATTCCTAGACCAGTCTAGGTGTTTCTTTAAATTTAATATATTATAAAAGTAAAAAAAAATGATTTACCTGTGTTTTGTGTTTGATTACAGAAATCCTGTGTTTTGTGTTTGATTACAGAAATCCTGTGTTTTGTGTTTGATTACAGAAATCCTGTGTTTTGTGTTTGATTACAGAAATCCTGTGTTTTGTGTTTGATTACAGAAATCCTGTGTTTTGTGTTTGATTACAGAAATCCTGTGTTTTGTGTTTGATTACAGAAATCCTGTGTTTTGTGTTTGATTACAGAAATCCTGTGTTTTGTGTTTGATTACAGAAATCCTGTGTTTTGTGTTTGATTACAGAAATCCTGTGTTTTGTGATTACAGAAATCCTACCTAGGAGCGCGCAATGAACAGCGACTGAGAGCCTTTCTGATAACTCCCATCTACATCACTTCATGCTGGCACATTTTTTATTTTTTCTATGGTGACAAGATTGCATGGAACATTGCTGAGAGAATGTTTTTCAAAGGTTAGAAAAGAATCTTTGTAGAAAGATGTTGTAGTGAATATCTTTATGTAAACAAAAGAATTAAGCATTGTAGACCTCCCCCCAAGTACGATTGTGGACATGATTAGAACAGATGATTGTGGACATGATTAGAACAGATGATTGTGGACAAGATTAGAAACAGATGATTGTGGACATGATTAGAAACAGATGATTGTGGACATGATTAGAACAGATGATTGTGGACATGATTAGAACAGATGATTGTGGACATGATTAGAAACAGATGATTGTGGACATGATTAGAACAGATGATTGTGGACATGATTAGAACAGATGATTGTGGACATGATTAGAAACAGATGATTGTGGACATGATTAGAAACAGATGATTGTGGACATGATTAGAACAGATGATTGTGGACATGATTAGAACAGATGATTGTGGACATGATTAGAACAGATGATTGTGGACATGATTAGAACAGATGATTGTGGACATCATTAGAACAGATGATTGTGGACATGATTAGAAACAGATGATTGTGGACATGATTAGAAACAGATGATTGTGGACATGATTAGAAACAGATGATTGTGGACATGATTAGAAACAGATGATTGTGGACATGATTAGAACAGATGATTGTGGACATAATTAGAACAGATGATTGTGGACATGATTAGAACAGATGATTGTGGACATGATTAGAAACAGAATATTTTTAGAGTTCTAGATGAGATGATATCAATGTCAAGTCATTAAGTGCATAGGGGGGGGGGGGGGCAGCACAGAGCATTCAACTCCTGCTGGACACAACAACCCCACACTACCACAGGTGCTACATCCACCCCCACACTACCACAGGTGCTACACCCAACCCCACACTACCACAGGTGCTACACCCAACCCCACACTACCACAGGTGCTACACCCAACCCCCACAGGTGCTATACCCAACCCCACACTACCACAGGTGCTACACCCAACCCCACACTACCACAGGTGCTACACCCAACCCCACACTACCACAGGTGCTACATCCAACCCCCACAGGTGCTACACCCAACCCCACACTACCACAGGTGCTACATCCAACCCCACACTACCACAGGTGCTACACCCAACCCCACACTACCACAGGTGCTACATCCAACCCCATACTACCACAGGTGCTAAACCCAACCCCATACTACCACAGGTGCTAAACCCAACCCCACACTACCACAGGTGCTACACCCAACCCCACACTACCACAGGTGCTACATCCAACCCCACACTACCACAGGTGCTACATCCAACCCCACACTACCACAGGTGCTACACCCAACCCCACACTACCACAGGTGCTACACCCAACCCCACACTACCACAGGTGCTACATCCAACCCCACACTACCACAGGTGCTACATCCAACCCCACACTACCACAGGTGCTACACCCAACCCCACACTACCACAGGTGCTACATCCAACCCCACACTACCACAGGTGCTACATCCACCCCCACACTACCACAGGTGCTACACCCAACCCCACACTACCACAGGTGCTACATCCAACCCCACACTACCACAGGTGCTACACCCAACCCCACACTATCATAGGTGCTACACCCAACCCCACACTACCACAGGTGCTACATCCAACCCCACACTACCACAGGTGCTACACCCAACCCCACACTACCACAGGTGCTACACCCAACCCCACACTACCACAGGTGCTACACCCAACCCCACACAACCACAGGTGCTACACCCAACCCCACACTTCCACAGGTGCTACACCCAACCCCACACTACCACAGGTGCTACACCCAACCCCACACTACCACAGGTGCTACATCAAACCCCACACTTCCACAGGTGCTACACCCAACCCCACAGGTGCTACACCCAACCCCACACTACCACAGGTGCTACACCCAACCCCACACTACCACAGGTGCTACACCCAACCCCACACTATCATAGGTGCTACACCCAACCCCACACTACCACAGGTGCTACATCCAACCCCACACTACCACAGGTGCTACACCCAACCCCCACAGGTGCTACATCCACCCCCACACTACCACAGGTGCTACACCCAACCCCACACTACCACAGGTGCTACATCCAACCCCACACTACCACAGGTGCTACACCCAACCCCACACTATCATAGGTGCTACACCCAACCCCACACTACCACAGGTGCTACATCCAACCCCACACTACCACAGGTGCTACACCCAACCCCACACTACCACAGGTGCTACACCCAACCCCACACTACCACAGGTGCTACACCCAACCCCACACTACCACAGGTGCTACACCCAACCCCACACTTCCACAGGTGCTACACCCAACCCCACACTACCACAGGTGCTACACCCAACCCCACACTACCACAGGTGCTACATCAAACCCCACACTTCCACAGGTGCTACACCCAACCCCACAGGTGCTACACCCAACCCCACACTACCACAGGTGCTACATCCAACCCCACACTACCACAGGTGCTACACCCAACCCCACACTATCATAGGTGCTACACCCAACCCCACACTACCACAGGTGCTACATCCAACCCCACACTACCACAGGTGCTACACCCAACCCCCACAGGTGCTACATCCAACCCCACACTACCGCAGGTGCTACATCCAACCCCACACTACCACAGGTGCTACATCCAACCCCACACTACCACAGGTGCTACATCCACCCCCACACTACCACAGGTGCTACACCCAACCCCACACTACCACAGGTGCTACATCCAACCCCACACTACCACAGGTGCTACACCCAACCCCACACTATCATAGGTGCTACACCCAACCCCACACTACCACAGGTGCTACATCCAACCCCACACTACCACAGGTGCTACACCCAACCCCACACTACCACAGGTGCTACACCCAACCCCACACTACCACAGGTGCTACACCCAACCCCACACTACCACAGGTGCTACACCCAACCCCACACTTCCACAGGTGCTACACCCAACCCCACACTACCACAGGTGCTACACCCAACCCCACACTACCACAGGTGCTACATCAAACCCCACACTTCCACAGGTGCTACACCCAACCCCACAGGTGCTACACCCAACCCCACACTACCACAGGTGCTACACCCAACCCCACACTACCACAGGTGCTACACCCAACCCCACACTATCATAGGTGCTACACCCAACCCCACACTACCACAGGTGCTACATCCAACCCCACACTACCACAGGTGCTACACCCAACCCCCACAGGTGCTACATCCAACCCCACACTACCACAGGTGCTACATCCAACCCCACACTACCACAGGTGCTACATCCAACCCCACACTACCACAGGTGCTACATCCAACCCCACACTACCACAGGTGCTACATCCACCCCCACACTACCACAGGTGCTACACCCAACCCCACACTACCACAGGTGCTACATCCAACCCCACACTACCACAGGTGCTACACCCAACCCCACACTACCACAGGTGCTACACCCAACCCCACACTACCACAGGTGCTACACCCAACCCCACACTACCACAGGTGCTACATCCAACCCCACACTACCACAGGTGCTACATCCAACCCCACACTACCACAGGTGCTACACCCAACCCCACACTACCACAGGTGCTACACCCAACCCCCACAGGTGCTACACCCAACCCCACACTACCACAGGTGCTACACCCAACCCCACACTACCACAGGTGCTACACCCAACCCCCACAGGTGCTACACCCAACCCCACACTACCACAGGTGCTACATCCAACCCCACACTACCACAGGTGCTACATCCAACCCCACACTACCACAGGTGCTACACCCAACCCCACACTACCACAGGTGCTACACCCAACCCCACACTACCACAGGTGCTACACCCAACCCCACACTACCACAGGTGCTACACCCAACCCCACACTACCACAGGTGCTACACCCAACCCCACACTACCACAAGTGCTACATCCAACCCCACACTACCACAGGTGCTACATCCAACCCCACACTACCACAGGTGCTACACCCAACCCCACACTACCACAGGTGCTACACCCAACCCCACACTACCACAGGTGCTACACCCAACCCCACACTACCACAGGTGCTACATCCAACCCCACACTACCACAGGTGCTACATCCAACCCCACACTACCACAGGTGCTACACCCAACCCCACACTACCACAGGTGCTACACCCAACCCCACACTACCACAGGTGCTACATCCAACCCCACACTACCACAGGTGCTACATCCAACCCCACACTACCACAGGTGCTACACCCAACCCCACACTACCACAGGTGCTACACCCAACCCCACACTACCACAGGTGCTACACCCAACCCCACACTACCACAGGTGCTACACCCAACCCCACACTACCACAGGTGCTACACCCAACCCCACACTACCACAAGTGCTACATCCAACCCCACACTACCACAGGTGCTACACCCAACCCCCACAGGTGCTGCACCCAACCCCACACTACCACAGGTGCTACATCCAACCCCACACTACCACAGGTGCTACACCCAACCCCACACTACCACAGGTGCTACACCCAACCCCACACTACCACAGGTGCTACACCCAACCCCCACAGGTGCTACACCCAACCCCACACTACCACAGGTGCTACACCCAACCTCACACTACCACAGGTGCTACACCCAACCCCCACAGGTGCTACACCCAACCCCACACTACCACAGGTGCTACATCCAACCCCACACTACCACAGGTGCTACACCCAACCCCACACTACCACAGGTGCTACATCCAACCCCACACTACCACAGGTGCTACACCCAACCCCACACTACCACAGGTGCTACATCCAACCCCACACTACCACAGGTGCTACACCCAACCCCCACAGGTGCTACACCCAACCCCACACTACCACAGGTGCTACATCCAACCCCACACTACCACAGGTGCTACACCCAACCCCACACTACCACAGGTGCTACACCCAACCCCCAC